AATAAAGGAGCTGAACTGATTCTGGACTGTCTCGCTGTTGTTCTTGGGCTGAACCTGACAGCTGCAGCATAAACACTGATGTAAGAACATAACAGTAGGCATGCTGGATCAGATCAAACATATCAATCCAATAGTTCGTTTCTACAGCAGTCAATCAGATGCTTCTAAGGTGCCTGCAGGCAAGAGACAGATGAATGACCCTCTCCACTGTTGTACAACCCATATGTGGAAGCACACCATCCCCAACCCAGAACTAACACTGGCATTTTAAGACTAGCAGACCCTTGATGGATCTGCTGCCCTCCATTAATTTCTCTGGTTCTCTGTAAAGCCATCCAAGTTAATGGCCATCTTGATAATGAATTTTACAGGTTAATTATATGTGGTGTGGAGAAATGCTTCCTGTGATCATTTTACATCTCCTTCCACTCAACTTCATTGGATGGCCTAGTATTTTGAGAGAGGGAGAAAAACTTTCCCTAGCCACTTTATCCATGCCATGAATGACTTTATACACTTCTATCATGTTGTCTTCAGTCATCTTTGTCCATGCTAAAGATTCTTTGTCCGCCTTCTGTGCTTAGGGCTATAGAAAACACTTGAACAGTCTCAACTGAGGGTAGAGGCTATTTTCAACAATATGTTCCCCCACCCTGACCCTAAGGCAAATGACACATGTAGAAGGGATTTCTCCTTCCATTGATTTTAACAGTTGTTAGACCAAGAAAAGGACAGGAAGGCCTGGCGCAATATGGTTCATGGGGTCACGAAGAGTCAGACACGACTTAACGACTAAACAACAACAAGACCAAGAAAAGGGATTTGACTAAGGCAGCTAGGAGTACCTCTGTACTAATAATTTAAAAAATCAATGATATGAACCCATGTGGCTGCTCTGAAAGATGAATGGTTATTGATAGTTTCTTTTGCTGCTCATGCTGAAAATTCTTTGCCTGCTTGTTTTGAAGGTTATTACAGGTTAAATAAATAGCAGCACAGTTTGTATTCCATTTGATATATTAGGAAGATTGTCTAGTTTTGTTGACTTTGCCAGAGAAAGAGTACAATCGTGTGAGGTTACTTTGGTCTAAGTAAATTTACATTGGCCTTCTATTTGCTTATAACCCAGAATTCTTTTTTTTCTTCCCCTGAACCTTTCTTCTGAATCTTTTTAGATGTTATATGTTGAACAGATTTTGGTTGGTATCCTGTAATAGGGGATGTAATCACCACTGAAAATTGTCTGAGTTGAGGAATAAGAAAACACCCTTAATAGCTTTCCAGAGTGAACAAAATATTTTATTGAAGAAAATAATAAAATCTATAATCAGTAGCTATACAAAAACAAACAAACAAAAACCCACAATACCCACACCTTCATTTGCGGAAATGTTATAGATCAGGATCTACAAAAGCCATGTCTGCACAAGTATTTCATACTCCTCTGGTGATCAGGATGAGCTTTGTACAAATTTTCTCAGTGACCTAAATTCTAATCCATGATCCTATGTTTGCAAACTTTATTTTAAAGTACATAAAAGGCAGATTGATGCAAGGTTATCTATTGTTTTTCACAATGTGGTGAAGTAACCTTGTCTCTAGCCATCTGGAAGCCTTTGGGGTTATGGTCGGTCAATTTATATCCTTCTTGCATCTTTTCTGTTTACTCTGGATCTTGTCTGCAACCCAATACAAGCACATTTAGTGGACTGAACTATCTCCAGCTATTTCAGAACTCACAAGAATCAGTCCAGAAATCTGATTTACACTGGCAAATATATCCTATACAACCATATAAAACAACGATGGCAGTTTCTCCAAACTGTCTCATTATTTCTAGCATGTTGCAGCACCCTTGCTGCATGGACCTTTCTACCTCTTTGGGGAACTGAACACTAAGACATAATATTGCTCCTCACATTCATGGAAGTTTTAATCTGTACTTAAAATCTATGTCATTTGTAGGTTGCAAAACACCAAGTCCAGCTCGCGATTGGTCTAAAGAAGGACACTTTACATTCTTGTCAATGAGCTCCACTTCAAAATAGAAAAGCAACAAAGTCAGAAATTGCTTGATTTCATTAATAGCAAACAATCTTCCAGGGCATTTTGCCAATCCTGTTCCAAATGGCATATAATAATATTTTAATTTGCGGCCATTACGATAGAAAGTTTTTTCTTCCCCGTTTTCTCCAAGATAACGATCAAATTTGAATGTCTGTAACAAAATTCAAAATAGTGCGTTGACTCAGCAATATTTAAAGAAACGTTAAGATGATTTAAGAGTTGCAAATGAAAACTGAATGTGTGTTCTTTTTCCTGATAATTTGAAAATCAGTCGCTGAATATGTTACTAGCCAAATGAATTAAATATGGTCATCTATTTCACAGTCCCTAAAATATTAAACAAGTTTCACATAACATATGAAAGTTGGAAATACATAAACATTTCAGATCAAATTAACATTTGACTGAATAGACTTTAAAACAGCTCTTTGAAGTGGGAAAATCTTGGATGAAGAATTTAGGAATAAACCCTACTTCCTTTTTTACCTAATGAATAGCCATAGCCTTGATCTTATGCATTTAGTTTGCCACTTATAATGTTGCCACTATCTATAGATATTTGTTTCTTTGCTTTTGTTTATTACAGAAATTCTTCAGGGAGTAAGTTTTCCCTGCTTATCATTTAATGAGTATGGATTCAGAAGTAACACTTGATTCTAGAACACAGATAGGGCATCCAACCCTATGATTCTACGATTTTCATAGAAAATCTCTCACTCTCCATCTCTGTCTCTCTCTCACTTTATTTATTTATTTATTTATTTATTTATTTATTTATTTATTTATTTATTTATAACTTAATTTTAACTTTCACAGAGGTTACTGATTATTTGGCATCCAATTCTGGTAATTATGGCTTCTTGCTTGCTATACCCAGAGTAGTATGCTGTACAATAACTCTTTCTACCTATGATCATGGTAGAAGGGTTATTTCAGCCCATTTCTTTACCAGTCATTTATCAAAAGCAGTGTCCAATAAAATATAATGTGTGAAGAAACCAAAAGCTGAAATAATTATTGGGATGATATTTAAACTGATTCATTCAATCATTATGAATGAAAAGTATTAGTCCACCTAATGCTGAAGCAGATTTGGAGATGGAGCCTGGATAAATACCCATATTATTTTGCCTATGGTATTAAGTTCTTCCCTGTGATAGAATTCCCTAAGCAAAAGCCAGGTTCTTTTATAACATCGAATAATTTCTTCCTATTAGTGCTCATGCAAGAGGTTTTGTTGGAAAACTCACCATTGGATCAGGATAGATTTCAGGATCAAAATGCAACAGCTGGGGATAAAGAGCTATGATGTCATCTTTGCGGATATTGTAGGAATCACTGCCCAATTGCAACGTGAAATTTTCCTTAGCAACTCTGACTGTCATGGATGCACTGGAGAGTCTTAGTGCTTCCTTTATAATGCTGTCTGTGTAAAAAGAGGAAAAAGAAACTTTCACCAAAATGCAAGATGAACAGCTGTGCTACTGTACTTTATACTGTACTAAAATCAAAAGTAATGTGATCCAGTAAAAATGAAGGAAGGTCACCAGCAGCAAAACCAGTCCATAAAATGTTGTTCCAGCCAAGCGTACTATATTTTGTCATTAGAGCAGGACTACAAATATTATCCAGCTGATTTGTTCTAATGATTTAATGGTTTCTAAATTCTAGCAGATGGAAGTTCATGTATTTCAGTACAAGTCAACCAAGCATACCTAATATAGGCATATCATCCAGCTGTTTTCGATTCAAGGAAATGGGTTTCCTACTTGAGCAGATCTTTTCACCAGCATTTTCTAACACTCGATGTGCCTCTTCTGTAGCTGCTTTCATTGCACTGGGATTCCTGAAAGGGAAAGACATAATGAAATCACAATACAAATATTTACATTAATCTAAGCCATACAATGAACATCAACAAAAACCCATTATTACAGTCACTGTGCACAACTTCAGATTGTGTTGAATTTCAGGCAGGCCTTACCCAGGATAATCAGGCTGGATCTTGGAAAACTAAGTTAGGAAGTATGACCATTGGCAGCATTTCTATCTTGCTGTGAAAATGTGGTTGCATGATTCAGTTTGCCTATGGAAGTCTTCTGTCTGCATCCTCTCTATGATCAGCTTTACTGCTTTCCATTTTATCTCCCAGTCCTAGTATCCCACTATCAAAATGTATTCTGAAACAGCTTGCTTTTGATCTCATATACTCCAGAAAGGAGTAAATTGAGTAGTTAAGGTATCTCATCCTGATTACTGGAGACTCAAGCATTAGGACACAGAAGTTGGCATGTAGTAAAATTAACAGAACTAAACTTATATTTCTGCAGCAATTATATTGTTTATACCTAAAACAATTGTATGGTATACAGCTCAGCCTGTTTACATGCCTAAGGGCATATGAAACCATTCAGTCAAGTTTATCAGGTTTCAGTTCAGTTCTCCAAAATGTGTCCCCAATTTTGAAGCCTGAAGCTAACGTTCTAAGCATTAAGGCCCCGGATTGGACCAGGATTCCAACTTCATGGCTCAGAATCATGTTTGATCCTACAGAGCTGGTACTTCTGCTGTTGGCAGACAGCTACCAAACTTGTATGGAGGAATTATATAGTTTCAGGCTTTCTCCTGAATACATAAGCCAATTAGGCCTTGTGGAGGTCAAATTAATGGTAAAGGAATGAATTAGGGGCATGGATCATCGGAATAATCTCACCAGCATTCCTAAGTTTTATTGCCAAATTTTAGAGTGCCACAAGCCTTCTATCATGGGATATTTACACAATCTAACCCTGAGCAAATATAGATGGTCTTTTTTTTTTTAGAGCCCATTTTAATGCTCTTCCTTTTGCAATATTCCTGGTCATCATGGAATCAGAAAATCCAGATTCTCTGGATCAGACTTTCCCAACCTGGTGTCCTCAAGTTGTAGGATTACAAATGTTGGCATTCCTTTCCAGCCCAGGCTTTCTGAGAATTGTGATTCAAAGACATTGGGTAATATTGGATTGGAAAAGACTGTTCTGAGCATTTTAACAAAAATGGTGCATGTAAACAGTCTTTTACCAAGCAATAGCCTACAATGGTACATCTGCAAAAGAGCTGATTGTACAATTCTTCCCAATTTTGAGGACTAATGCACTGCTCATTTCTTAACAAGCCATGACTATTATGGCTATGGACCTCTGATAACTGATGCTCCATGAATAGGATGAGAAGTCCAGAAAAGCAGAAGAAGAGGTTTAACAAATAACATTAATATATTTAAAAAGCATTCATCCAGCTTGATGATATCCAGATGATATCCAAATCACCACTGAGTCAGCACTCAATAAATTGATTATAATAAATAGAAATAGTATTCTTGTAGACCACCATCCGAATGCACTCACCTAATAAGATAAAATGAAGTCCAAAATGTAGCAGGTATTGTGTTAGCTTGTGATGCCCACAGGACTGCAAGATGAGTCTTTGCTTTTTCCATATCATCAAAAGTGGACAAGGTATCATTCAAGTACATACGGAGGGAAATGAGTTCAGAAATATTTTCTCTTTTTTTAAGGTTCTCATGGAGCAGAGCCTCTGCTAGCTTCTCTCGTGCACTGTAAGCATTTTTAAATAGATGAATTGGAAGACCTGCTACAAGAGCTGGAAAGATTTGGTCAAATTCCTTGAAGTTCTCTAGGACTCTGAGGATACGTGCTCTCTGGGCTTGTTGGTTAGAAGAAAGGACCTTGTCATGATGTGTATTAAATTCTGTACCAAAAAGTGTTAAAAACCCGGATTCAAACATCACACGACAGCAGAATTCATAAAGCTTATCAGTGACCCAGTCATTGGAATTCATTTTTTCTGCACTTGGCTCCACCATGACATAATGCAGGTTCTCCATCATAGCTTCACTGAGAAATGTTAAGGCATTACCCTGCAATGTTCTTGTGAAGGTCTGTTGCATATTCTCAGTAGTGAATCCATCATTTGGATCAATGCTTCCATGTCCAAAGGCCTGCCACCAAATATTGACAATATTAATTGCATCACAACACTAATTAATTATGTAATCTCTTCTCCTATCCTTCTTCTCCCCCTATCTTGATGGCATATATGTAGAAAATCATGCTGTAGCCCACCACAAATCCTCTTAAAGGTAGAAGTGAATGGCACTGCTTACAGTGTTGTATGTCCTGGTCTAACTAAATAATAATGTCCACCTGAAACTGAAAACACTTTATTTTCTCTATCATTTATAAAAGGGAAGAAAAACATAGGGATGAGGTATTCTTAAACATATTGCCTACTGATGGATTCTGACTGACAGAGTACAGCCATTTAGAATCCCTATTCAGGAACCATTTAAACTCAGGGGACTCATCTACTATAGAAGATGGGTTTACATCCATCATTGGCTTTATACGGGTGGATGAGAAAATGATAGCAAATACTAAATCTGAAACTAATCTAAAACCTATCTTCCAGATTAAAAATCCATCATATTAATGGTTGTCTGTATGGCAGAGAACTTATACTTGAAAGTAATTTGCTGTTATGTATTCTGAGCTTTGCAGCTTTTACACTTCCGTTTTCTAACAGTAGTCTGAATTACAGGGGTGAGGGAGATAAAATTTGACACTGAACTGGTGTCTTTATTTGAAAGAAATAAATCATGCTGATACCAGAGTGTGGGGAGGAGATGTATTAGTAGGTAAGAGAGTACAGATTTACAGCCTGAAACAGTCAGACCAATCACTGGGTAAACTGATAGGATTACTCAGTTAGAATCCTACATTTATATACTTTTTTTCTTTGCCATCATTACATGTGTTTTGAAAATAAATAATTTAAAGTGAATTATCTAGACATAACTGGAGGTTAGTTCCAATGAGTGCATAGGAGCTATACAATAAGTTAATCTGTATTCCCGCAATTTATCTTCTTAAGTACACTGGTATTGATTCATCAAAATCCACAAAGAAAATCAATTTCTATATACATTAAGGAAGATTCTTTCAGGCTGTAAAAGCAGTAGAAGTAATTTGAATTATTGAACTCTAAATATGACTGGACAATGATTAAATTTAATGTGAAATTTGGTTTCATCCCATTGGACTTAAAAGCATTTATCTCAAGAACATTGGTGTAGCATTCTTATACTGTGCTAACTAACAACCCCAACCCCCCAGGATTTGCTGGCATGGTTTTTAAACAGAGCCTTTCACCCTGCCCACTTTTAACAGAAAAATAAACTTTATTAATATTGTTATTCTTCTGAAGTGCTACCTTTGCTGAAGTTGCAAAATGGAACTTTTTCCAATCCAGGTGTCTTCCTTGTTGCAACACTGCATGATAGGAAAATGGATCTGTGAGGAAATGAACATACTTTCCAGCCAACTGGCATGTGAAAGTGGGACCATGTTTCTTTTGTCGTTCCCTGAGGAATTTGAGAGGATTGGCCCCAAACTGTAAAGCATAGCCAAAATATGGCAGTATCCCATTCTCCAAAGGTGGCTCCCTTGGGCGTCTATAAAGAAACAATATATATATTTATATATGATGTAAAGTAGGATTGTACATTAAGGTTTGGCCTTCATGTTTGCTGTGCAAACATCTATTTCTAATTGAGTGCTTCCATCATTACTAGGAAGACACTGCCCACCTCTGAGTGATAAATCTACTGGGGAGGCAGTAGAGAACCAGCAAATAATTATTTGAGTCCAGTCCAGAAGCTTGTTATAGCCCCAATTATTAGCATGCATCAGACTTACTATAAATCAAATTCAATGAAATCTACTTGCTGTGCTAAAGGTATCATTCATACCTTGTTTACTCTTGGGCGGTTTGTCTAACCTTTTGAATAAAGTGGTGATTCATGACAAAATATATATTTCCCAGATAAATTTTATGACCAGTTGAATGCAATACAGTATGAATGTGTGTTTGTTCTGTGATATATCTAAGTGAGAAAAGGGAACAAGGGCAGGAGAGGGAAGCTACATCTGGGGACTTGGCAAATTGCCTGGGCTGTTTTGGTGCAAATGTAATCTCTGTTTGATTTCACTTTTGACTTTTCTTTTGTCCTTTTTGAATAATATATCTAGTTATATTACTGATGTCTGCAAGACAACATACATTCCAAGCCTACCAATGTTTACTGAAATGCTTCTGTCCCATTTCCACAACAAAGACCTAGATGCAAATAAGTTATGTCACTCACATAAACCAGTGTAGATTGACAATACATCGATAACATAATCTTTAACCAAGCCTCCTGAAACAGGCTCCCTGCATCTGTGGAAGTATACAAATACTGTATGTTCCCTCTGTCCAGTACCATCTGTGCTGTCCAGAAAAATTATGCTATCAGAGTGTTATCTCTCTGTTTGTATGTGTGTCTATAAATCACAGCATAGCAGTAATTCAAGCAACCTTTGAAAGTATAAGAACCCCCTGAAATGAAGCTAGAAATATTGCTCAGTGCAATATTAAATAATATTATTGGTAATATAAAGTAATAATGGTCCTGAATAGCCAGGAAAAAAAATCACAGTTAGATTATTTTCATTCTTATAAAAATATTACCTAATAGTGTATTATAATCCTGAATCCCATGGACCGAAATGCTGGTATCAACTTATTTACTAGGATTAATTCACAAATGTTTAATTATATGAATTTTTAAAAAGTTTTGCTGATTCTTCTTTGAAAAAAGGTAGTTGTAGCTTGGTATCATTTCACACATGGAATGACAAGTCCAAGTCTAGTCTACTTTAAAAGAGTACATTGGTGTGCTGTTACATGTGCTTTTTCCTTTATATATCTGAAGCAAATTTCAATTGGTTTAGTACACATAGATCTTCCTTTCTCTCTCCTTTCAAATGTAATGTGTTTCAAGAGCAGTAAACCAAACAAAAATAGTACTTCTATTCATATAACTTAAGACCTCACACATTATTTGTTTCCTTCATAATGTATTTTTAGATGTATTTTGCATATAGATAATAGGGTGCTTTTCTGCTAATATATTTCTCATGCATGCACAGCTGAACAATCAATCATATCTATTAGCTAGTAAAACTAATGTTTATGAAACACACTTTTTTTTTTCAAAAAGAAATCTATAATGATATTAAAAGGGAGGAAAATCAGAGTTCATGAAAAAAATGTATGAAAGTAATCCTCCTTACCTTTTTCTTACTCCCAGAACATACCACAAGCTACCACACAACATCATCATTACTCCCCATGTCAAAAACAAGGTCAACATTTCAGACAACTGTAATGAAATTCCAAGAATGAAACAAAAGTCTGAGACTGATACAGACAATTTCAAAGGGCCACTTCTTATATTCAGCAGGCTCACTTATTCATTTTGTTGAACTAAAATAACCTATGCAAGCTATTAATTAACTATTTCTGGACAAAATTTCTATGCTTGCAATTTGACCAAAATCTTTGTGAAGAATTGGATTGCACACCTGAGATTTGACCTTGAGTTGATTATCACTTATCAGTGAAGGTCCAAAGTAATCAAAGAGTTTAATGGCTGATATTTTAAAGGTCTGTCAGACGTGTTTTCATCTATCATATAGACTTAACAAATACAGTTTATAGTTCAAGTCTTTATGTGAATGAATTTTAATGACTCCAGTTATTCACACACCCACCAAGTTAGCTTGGAATAACACCACCTATAGTACTGTTGCCTAAGGCAGCTTCCCCAACTTGTTGTCCTCCAACTTGTTAAATTACAATTTCCATATCATGTTGGCTAAGAATTCTGGAAGCTGAAGAAAGCAATCTATCTTTTCCCATGGTAACAGGTGAATTTGACCTGGTTGATTTACTTATTTATTTGATTTAATTTCTATAGCCACCCATCTCATCAAGTGACTCTGAGTGGCATACAGTCATAAAAACATAAAACAATTAAAACAATACAAATAACTGTATATGGCCACCAAGTAAAACTATTGCCATACATGTTAATATAGCCAAGAAATGGGGTCCTTAACACACTTAGGGCCCCAGGCCCAGGCACATAACCAGGTCTTCACGGCCTTACGAAAAGCCAACAGGGTCAGAGTCATCCTAATCTCTGAAGGGAGGATGTTCCAGAGGGCAGGGGCTATGGGGACTTTTTCGAAAAGCAATGCTGTTTCTGAGGAATGGAAATAGAAATCATTAAACCACATGTGAAATCTGCAGCCAAGAACGTTGTCAGAGATGTGGCGGGTCAGCTTGTGTCCTGTGTTGTTGAGGAGGGCAGGGGGGTTCGGGTATGGTCATGGCCAGAAAGAATTATGCAATGGGGTCGCCTATTCCATTTAAAAAGAGAAAGATTGTGAAAAAACCCCTGCATACAAAGAGGAGACATGCATGGAAGAGGAAGCGCTGTGACAAGCGAGGCATATTCTAATACAAAATGGCATTTATCCATGAGGCTTCAGAGGAATGTATGAAATCAGAACTGGATCTTTTTCAACTGGAACCTACAAAAAACAATATTAAAAACAGCATGTATGTCAAGATCCCACCTTTATCCACACTATCACCCAATGCACCCTTGGAATTTTTTATCACAGGACATGGCGAGCATTACATGGATTTAAACAACACTCTGTTGTATGTGAGTTGCAAGATTGTAAAGGCTGATGGTATGGATATCGGTGATGGTGCCAGGGTGACACTGACCAATTACCCTATAGCATCGCTGTTTAACCAGCTGGGCGTAACCTTGGGAGATCGTCTCATTACGCATAGCCATCATTATTCTTAGCGTGCCATCATTGAACTGCTTCTGAACTTTGGCGGTGATGCCCTGGGAACCCAATTTACAGCTGGGAGGCGGGGGGGTTGATTATATGTGAGAATCCACACCCTGCAGGTCCTTCATTTGTTCTCTGGAAATACATGCTTTCTAGGGGTCTACCCTTGTGACCTGCTACCCAAGAGACAAATCTCCAAAAGACTTTTCGGATTACTTGTAGACACCCATCCTCAAACTCTACCTGGTGAACACTGGCTAGCTCTCTACTTCCCATCTCCTGGATATGGTGAATT